CTGCTGCAGAAAGCCGACTGCAATCTCAAGTAGAACGAAATGCACAAAGGAAACAAATCAAAGACGCTTACAATTTCCAGTTTCTGTTGCCGCTGCAAGTCAATAGCCTCGACGGCGTCAGTGGCCACCCCATGGCGGACGGCATTGACGCTGGGAGAGCGTTCTCCGAGAGGCACAGAGGAAGAGAGTGGCAGACTGTGACTGCGGCTGAGAGGAAGCGAGAGAGACAGACAGTGAGAGTGAGAGAGAGAGAGTCCATATCCAGTACGGAGCCCGGCGTGGCTGGTTTTATAATTTGGCGCGTCATTTGCCATCCAACAGTCGCTGCGTGCGGTTAAGAGATACAGATACTTTTACGCTTTAGATACAAGCAGTGTTTTTTGTTGTTGTTGTTGTTGTTGAAAACAGCAGCTCGCTTCAAGCTGGGATGTTCATCTTGTTTAACCAAGTGCAGTTTTTGGACAGCAACATGTTTGCACAGCACTGCGCATGCGCCTAAAAGTATTCTATCGGGCTACGTGGGTGGGCGACGTGTTAAAGGACAAACTGTCGGGCACAGGCAAAGGACACTGAAACGCGGCCGTATTATTCAACAAATTGGCAATGAGAAATGCACAACTAATCGAGAAAAAACTATAAAACACGTCAATCAAAATAATTTTACGCGCTGAATACAAAACATATCCACAAGTGACATAATACACATCAGAACGAAAACGAGATTAGCATTTGTTTAAACAATTAGTGGCTACATATCAAAAGTTATAGAAAAGTCAAATAAAATCGGCAACATGTCGACGGCATCCTCCAGCAATTCAAGCGGCGATGAGCCCCACAAGAAGAAGGATGATGCCAGCAACGAGGAGAGCTCCCACCTGCTGGAGGCCAACGAGAACGGCGACAAATATGGTTCCCGGCAAGCGGTAAAAATCATCAAAGTCCATCCAAATGGCAATGAGAGTGCCAATGCCAGTCCCCAAGTAGGCAAAGAATCAAATTCAAACAAATTTTCTAACTGGTGCTGGTACTAAAACCCATAATTTAAGTCACTTTAACTAGCTGCTGCATGTGTGTGTGTATCTATGTATCTACGAGTCGGCTATGTTTGACCTTGACGAAGGAAACCAAAAAAAAAAAAAAAAAAGAGTATATTTAAGTACCACGGCGCCGCCCAATTAGCGGAGTGCGAAGCGAAACTTGCTTCCTTTGTTTTGCCAGAGCGTACAATCTTTAATATTTACAGAGCAAAGTATCTCAAAATGATACCAAACGAAAATTGGAGCAATTCGCTAGTCACCAAACTGAAAAAACCGAAATGATAAAAAACGAATTCTGTTGTCTACCAAACTAGTTAACCAAACAGACTTTGACAGAGTCTGTATTTAAGCTATATACTATATATGTAGCCCAGTAACTACATAATATCATTTATCATGCCCGAAAATAATTCAATTGTAGTCAGTTCCGAGTCGAGTTCAATTTTGGGAATTGTCTGGAACGAGTCTAAAATTTCGTTTTTGTTTTTCTACTTTATGGAATTACTATCTTTATTGTTAATTACTTTTTTTTTAGTGAATCATATGCTTTGATTTGTACGCCCCCTTAACTATTCGATAAGAGCTCTTATCATACTTGGCTTTTAGCTAAATCGTTTTTGAAACTAGATTCATTTGCTAATGAATGATTTTGTTTGTCATATCTGTGCTGGACGGACGATCTTGGCCCGAAAATATGCACAAAAAATAGAAAGTTTTTAAATGCTTTTGCACCTATTATCCAATTAACTGATAAGAAAAACAAGATACGCACAACGCAGTCATAATTCGACAAATAAAAAAGACAAGAAAGGCAGCCAAATTGGTAATAATATTTGAATCTTAATGCTTCGCATTCAAATTGAAAAATATTTGAAATGCAAATTCAACGACTACTGAAAACAGATCGAACCATTTTTTTAATGCTTATCCAATGCATTTCAGGCTTGAGGCTGTTTTTTAATTGACATCTTAGAATATATAATACTTTTTATTCGAGTTTACGAATTACCCCGTATAACTCATTTGAATACCTCGTATTTGCATACTCGTATGTCGTACGTTTAAAAATATCCAGAAAATGAGGAAGGAATTTTTCTTTTATTATAAGTATATAAACAAGTCTTGGCATATAAAATTTAATGTTTATTATGGGTGTATTCAGGTATGGGAACAGCGGAAGCTGGGGAATTAATCATAAACTCTGGATATATAAAAAGTTAATGTTTATTATGGGTATACCCGAGTATGGGCATAACGGAAGCCTGGGGGGAATTAATCAGTTTATTTAACAACTTTGACAGAACTTGGACGAAACGAGTTTGTGGCTTAACATTCCGAGGTTTTTCTTTATGTTAATGGAAAACGGGAACTGAAATTGCAATTAAATTTGACATATGCAGATGCGTAGTGCCTTGCAGAACTGACATTGAAACGAACTTGGACTTGGACTTGGCCAACGATGACAATGACATTCGCGCAGCTATCTTGCCGACCCGGCTGAAGACTACGTCCAGAGGCAACCAGGCCGGGGCGTTGGGTGCGTGGGCGCCCAACAAGCTGTTGGCCCGGTTAACTGCCAACGTTAATCTAAATATAGTTAAGCACTCTGCCAGCAGTCGCTGTGAACAGCGCAGCGAATATCGATTTCAGTGCAGACTTTTACTGCCAGGCCGGAGGTGTGTCTTGGCCCCGGCGGCAGCAGGAGGCGTGGGCGTCGTCTCGGTTACAAGTTACCGGTCGGATAATGCAACTCTCGGCCAGCATTTGCCATGTGCGGAAGTGAATACTGTGCTGCTGCTCTGATGTGGGCTTTGATTGGATGGATATACGAGCAGGCATGGGATTGCAGCAGGGATTGAGGCGCGTTCTGCGCGTGGGTGGAAAAATGAGATAAAGTAAATGGCAAAATGAAAAGCCAGAACAAGAGAAAGGAATACTATATGTAAAGATACTTGGCTATATGAATGCATTTTCTGTCTATGTGAAATGTATAAAAACTATTTAAGATCATATTCGTATTAATTCAAGACCTTGGGGATTAGTCTCTATTTAATTTGGTAGTATTATTGTTAAGCTAGATCTATTTAGCTACATATTTTAATTTCGAATTATATTTTTAATGAGATGTAAAGATACTTGGCTATATGAATGCATTTTCTGTCTGTGTAAAATGTGAGAAGCGTGAACTTACACTGAAAAAATATGTAGAAAAACTATTTTAGATCATATTCGTATTAATTCAAGACCTTGGGGCTTAGGCTCTATGTTATTTGATAGTGTTATTGTTAAGCTAAATCTATTTAGCTAAATATTTTTGATAGCTGGCTGATAAGCTTTTAGCCACAATTTCATTAACTAACAGTACTTATATGTACCATAAAGTTTTGTTGAATTATCGCTTATTAATTGCCAGAATTATGACAATTTCATGTCGTACGTATATGCATATTTGTATACTTTTGTGCGTCTGTATGTTAGCGTATTATCTAGGTATTTGATATATTGATTAGACACGCGATAGCATTAACTACTGAGGTGTATACATATGTACCCACCCATCATTGAATTGTTTATTGCCAGGGAGCGTGGCCATGGCCAAGGCAGCCAATTTTTAATTGGCGTCGCTTCACTGATCATATGTAATAAGTTAACAATATTAAAAAAAAAGATTATTGAACTGCCATTTACTTAGTTTCTTAGGCCTATAAGCAGTATTATGGCTAATTCAATTGCTGCAAGACCTCAATTCATTTATTGGTTGTTTGTGATTGGATAGTGTCGATAGTTTGATGTGAGGATAATAAAAATCTAAAAATATTTATGATAATAAAAACAGATTAAAGTTTTCCATATTATCACATCAATACCTAAAATATTTCAGTTTAAAGTTTTCCATATTGATCAAAAGAGTTTTATATACACATTTCAGATTAAAGTTTTCTATATTTGAGATTATTTATTTATTGACAATTTGAAAACTTCATATGTATATGATGATAAAAACAGAATAATGTTTTCCATATTGCCATATCAATAGCTAAAACATTTCAGTTTAAAGCTTTCCATATTGATCAAAAGAGTTTAAAATGCAAGAAGTTGTATACCTTAAGCATTTTAGATTAAAGAAGAGTTTAATATGCAAGAAATTGTATACCTTAAACAGTTAAAAGTTTTCCATATTAATTAGCAGAGTTCAAAATGCAAGAATTTGTCTACCTTCATCATTTTAGATGAGAGGTTTCCCATATTATCACATCAAGAGTTTAATATGCAAGTATGCCTGCACCTATAATATTCTACTTAAGCCTTATCGTATATACGATATGCATATACCGTATATACGATATGCATATGCGCATATAATTTCGATTATTGGCGTTGGATTAAAAGGTTGAAAGTGCACTAATTAAGTAGTTTGTCGCATATCTAATCTTCAGCATTCCAATGGCCCAGTTTCTCGCTACTTTTTTAAGGATGGTTATAAAGCTTATCAATGACGCACATCCTCATTAAATAATTGAATTAACTCTCAACGAACATGAAGCATCCCCCCACGGCAGGAAGTCAACACTTGGGGTTATCAGCAATTATAGTACAACCCGTAAACCAGGCTAGAAATTCCCATGAAATGGTGAAGAGTTAAGCGCCTGAAGCAATCGTTTTGTCCGCATCGATAAGCGAAAGCTTTAAACAAATTGATCCCGCCCCCAAAGAAGGTTATTTGTGGGTCCATTTCCGACTGTCGTAAACATAGAACTTGAGCGTTTTTTGGGGCATTTGTCTCAGAATTGGGTGGGAATGTGCTGGGCGCATTATCTTGGTGCCATAAAGTTCGTAATCGCTGGTGGAGGGAATTATCACGGCCTCGAATTATGTGATAATACGCTTGGTTAGCAGTTCTAGTTAGTTAGTCGAGCCGTTAAGGCTTTTTTTTTTGTACTAAACGTCTTGTCTTGTTCGCAGGATCAGGAGAATCTACTTGGCAGAATGGTGCACACGTCCACCGAGAACAGGTCAAGGACCTTGCCCCAATATGTTGCCGCCCTGGCAGCAGCTGGCGGCGCCTTCGCGGCCGGTACACTGCTTGGCTGGACATCGCCGGCAGAGACTAGCATCGTGAAGGACGATTTCTATGGATTTGAGGTGTCCGATGAGAGCTACTCGTGGGTCAGCTCGTTCATGACCCTTGGTGCCGCCTGTGTGTGCATACCGATTGGTTTCCTCATCAACATGATCGGACGCAAATGGACAATGCTGCTGCTCGTGTTGCCCTTTGTCTTGGGCTGGGCATTGCTGATCTGGGCACAGAATGTGGTCATGATGTTTGTGGCACGCTTCATTCTGGGTATCGCTGGCGGTGCCTTCTGCGTGACAGCACCCATGTACACCGGCGAGATTGCCCAAAAGGATATCCGTGGCACACTCGGCAGCTTCTTTCAGCTGATGATCACCCTCGGTATTTTGTTTGTATATGGCATTGGTGCCGGTCTAGACGTATTTTGGATGAGCGTCGTTTGCGGAATTTTGCCAATTATCTTTGGCGTTATATTCTTCTTCATGCCGGAATCGCCCACATATTTGGTAAGTTGCTATAGATAAAATAGTATCTGAGATGTGTGTGTAAATGCCATTTAACAGGTTTCAAAGGATCGCTCAGAGGCGGCTGTCAAATCGATTCAATGGCTGCGTGGCAAGGAATACGACTATGCACCCGAATTGGAGGAGCTTCATCAAACCGATCGCGAAATCCGTGAGAATAAAGTGAATATCATGGCAGCACTGGGCCGTCCCGTTACAATCAAGGCATTGTCCATCAGCTTGGGGCTCATGTTCTTCCAACAATTGAGCGGCATTAACGCTGTCATTTTTTACTCGAAGGCCATCTTTGAGGTAAGTGGCCGCAGCGAAAAAGCTAAGATCAAAGATTGGCATTTATAATTTGTGTTTTTTTGATTTGATTTTTGTCAGGACGCCAAAACTGATATCGACGCCAGCATGTCAACAATTCTGATCGGTGTGATGCAGGTGGTGGCGACCTTTGTGTCCACACTGGTGGTGGACAAGCTCGGACGACGCATTCTGCTGCTCGCCTCCGGAATTGTGATGGCGCTCTCAACCACCGCCATTGGCGTGTACTTCTTTCTGAAGGAACGGAACGAGGATAGTGTGGAGAATCTGGGCTGGCTGCCTGTGGCCAGCCTGTGCATATTCATGATTATGTTCTCGATTGGCTACGGCCCGGTGCCCTGGCTGATGATGGGCGAGCTCTTTGCCACCGATATCAAAGGATTTGCGGGCTCTATTGCCGGCACCACCAACTGGGTGCTGGCCTTTGTCGTAACGAAAACATTTAAGAATCTTAACGACGGATTGGGCAGTGGTGGCACCTTCTGGCTATTCGCTGGCGTTACTGTAGTTGGCGTCATTTTCGTCTTCTTTGCCGTGCCTGAGACAAAGGGCAAGAGTCTGAACGAGATTCAACAGGAATTGGCTGGCCATCGAAACTCGCTCCGAGTGCAGCCAACGAATGTTGCCGAGAAGTAAACTGAGCTCTGTTAATTTGTATGAGTTTTTTTTATATTATATTTTATTTAAATTTAACTTTATGTTAGGTGAAAAGTCGAGTTCCGTTTCCAATTGATGAATTTGTTAGAATTTAATGTGTGAAGACACTTTTATCGGCACAGCTACAAAAATCGAGAATTGGAGAGAGATATATACTACATATAGAGAAAGCAAGTGAAAGAGATAAAGACAAGGAAAGATTCTAAGAATGAAGACTGAAGGTCAACTGCATTATAAGCAGAATTAGGCAGATATGTAAGGGCTCTCTTTAAACTAACCCACACGCCATAAAACTATCGCTACCTTCAAGTGGCCATAGAAAAGACAATAGATATCAATAATAAAATACATATATATACACAAACACACACGGATGTACACAGTAAAAGTTATGAAATGTTTTCGTGTAATTCTGAGCATGCGTGTTTTTTTTATGTATTATCTACAGATTGTCTGTGTGTTATTCGAAACATTCAGTTTTTTGTGTAAGCATTTTAGCCTGTTTAGTTTTAAGCCACGCATTTTGCCAACATATTTATTTACTAAAACGGTTTTTAAATTCATTTTGAATATGATTTTTATACATTATTTAATATCAAACATTTCGAATCGCAAAATAACTAAAAAAAAAATATTAAATCGCGATCGCTGCTTATCAAAGCTCAAACGTTAAGGCGTTATATATCATTGTTAATGTATCTGCATCCATTTTGAAAATATTGATGTAAATTATAAATTCATATATATATACCAAGTACCATATGTATATGATGCAGATAAAAAGTAGTGAGAATTATATTAAATATATGTATGTTGTAAATAAAAATATCTCGTTTTTAATACCATATCCGTCACGATTTGCCAGCGAGATTAAATATCAATTGAATTGTTTGTTTAGTTACATTTGTGTGTCCTTCTAGTTGATTAATTACATCTCAGATTGTACATCTTCAATATTTTCTTTGTGCTGTTCACTTTCCTGAGCATCATCGTCAAGCATTGTCTCCTCCACGGCATCCACGTTACATAGACGACTGGCCAAAGGAAGCGATTTCAATGAGGCTTCCAGGCGCTCCATCCGCTCCAGCAAATGGGCCAGGCGTCGATGATAATCATCCAACGTGCGTAGCTCAACCTTAAAAACGTTTTGTTGACTTATATCCATACTTATTCGCTTCCTCGAGATGTTTTTTGAGGATTATAATAAAAATTTAATGTATTTATTGCAATTTTGAAATAGCCAGAGTGTGTCGATTCCTTAGTTTTATTTTTCAATCGAATACTGTTTTTACAAAGCTGATGCGATGTCGAGAATAAAGCGTTTGTTCCTTTTTCCATATCAGTCTATAACTTATTTTCAACAATTTATCATTGTACCGATCAAATTTGTAGAGCTTTCACCGGCTGTAATCTTGTCTAATCTAATTTAATTAGGTTTTCTTTAGCTGAGGTACTGCGATTAAGGCAAACCAAATCAAACGTTTGAATTTATTGTTTTCTATTCAGCATATCAAGTAAATGATCTGGAAGCTTAAATGAAAGGCAACATTTCTCAACATTTATGTTTTATATTCGCATTTATAAATGTAATAAATATAGTTCATTATTTAAATATATATTACATACTTTCAGTAATGTAATTACATGATATCATTTTAAATACATATAAATATAGCTTTATATATACATTATTACGCCTATTATCATAACAGCTACTAATAAATTATTACAAGTTATTCAAAAATCTTCAAGAGCGTCAAACTTCATAAGCCGTAACTTCTTAAAAAGCAACTAGCATAACTATATGTTAAAATTAAAATCTCAATAACGTGTTTATTAAAAGAAACGAAAGTGTTTCCCTTCCTCAAATTTAATGATACGAAGCAAACCGTGCTCAGCACCGACGACTACCCAGTTACGTGCGGGCTCATTCCAATTCCAACGTACACTATTGAAGCGCATTAAGTTCAACAGATCAAAGCTGGGTCGTCGCTTCAGGTTTATGTACGTTGACTTTTTGTCATTGGGCACATTTTTGAGTGGCTTCAGGATCAGTCCATAGTCTCGCTTAAACTGTTCGGGGCTAATGGTGTTCGACTCTGGAGCACCGCTCAAAAGGCACGGCTCCGTTGAGCACACAGTACGACAATTTGTGGTTCGCTTTTGTAGCATCATTTCCAAATTGAATTGATTACATTGTAAAAAGGCAACATCGCCGTTATCCGTTGCTGCAACCAATGTCAACTGCTCCCAATTAAAATGGATTCCACGTGGGCTGCTCAGCACCACATCCAGCGTCGAATGGCTAAAACTAATGCCCGATGGATTGAGCGCGAGCAAGCGTGGAAACTCTGAAGATCGAACCAAAATGTATAGTATTTAGATGGATGCAATTACGGAAAGCGTTGCAGGAACTTACGAGACTTATACACCTCGGTGCAACCAACGGCCAATGCCTCCCACAAAGGAGACCAGTTGAGGCCGCCCATAAACATATTGCATACGGTATCACCCGAAATTGGCAACGGCTGCGACCAGTTGGCTATGTCATAGACCCACAGTTTTCGCATGTTGGTGCCTATGGCTAACCAACGTGCTCCGCTCGTGTCATAATGCAGCTCCAAATCTTAATAGCATAGGGAGTACGTAAGGTAAAGATATACTCCTATTTCACATCTACTTACTATATATGTTCCGCTCGCCAAAATAGAAGAAATGTGCGGGTAGAAAGTGTCGTTGATTATTTCGCTCAATGCAATTGAGTCCCTGCTCATCGGAAATATCATAAAAGGCAACATTACCGCTGGCATAGCCACTTACAAGCAAATTATGACCAGAGCTCTTAATTTTAACCAGACAAATTAAATTAATATAACATACATCGATTAGATTATCATATTTAGTTTTAAGTAGCGTGCAGAGTACTCACCTCAGACCAGCATATTTTAGTGCACGGATCCTGCATAGGATTATCTAAGTCCAAGTTAAGTGTAAGCAACGGTTGCAATACAATAACATCATCAAGCTCCTTTCCATCAGCCTGCTCGGTCTCGTTATTTAAATGCAAGGGCAGCGCGTAAATGACCGCACCCGATGAACCTCCCACGGCCAGAAGACCTAATCGGTTAATGGACTCATCGTAGCCACCGCTGGCCATAAATGCCAGGCTATGTACAGGTCCCTCTGGCACGCATATGCCATAATGCAGTCGCGTCTGCAGAGTCCACGCGCTATCGTCGCCAGCTGGCGGCATTTTGCATTCAATCAATAATAGCAAGGCATTCTCCGGTTTGTCCTTGAATTGACGGGAATAGCCGAGCACCTTGTTGCGCTGCGAGCACAACAAATACTGCGTCTCTACCGTCGAAGGCAATGGCACCCACGCCAGCTCCTTAATAGCGTTGCCCAGATACAATATACATTCGTCTGCAACGGATATAAAATTGATTAAATGATTAAATCATAACAATATAGCGTGTTACTTACGCTCTTTACTGAAGCCCTCCATGGGCTTCAACTGCATCCAGCCATTATCATCCACCGTGTCATAGGCATAGCGCATGGATGTGGAGTCCTTGGAAGGCAGCAACTGTCTTGTATCGGCAGCTGAAAGCTTCTCATAGCGGGGCACAAGATGCGGATACAAAATGCTTTTGGCATAATTTGTTTCGGTGCTATTAAAATGGAAATATTACGAAATTAAATTAAATGCAAAAATACCCACATAAATTTATTATTATCAAATTCTTGCACTATAAACAACAACTTTGTCTAGCAGCAAACACTCTGTACTCAGGTGTTAAATAAACCTTCTCAAAAGCCCACGGCTATCTAATCAAAGGTATTCAAAATAATCACAAAAAGTGATATAGAATTTGATTACGGAAAAGAAAAGGAAATTGTGCCTTAAGCTGTGCATATATTATGTCTTATACTGACAGACGGACATGGCTATTTCGACTCAGCTCGCGGTCTAGCCACAATTTAAGTGGTCAAAAATGTTGCTGTTTGACAATTTGAAGACAATTTAAAACTCACAAATGGTTCCAGCGATCCTTCATCACTTTTTTAACGTTTATACGTCCGTATACTGCAAGTAGAATTGGAATTCATAACTAACTAACTTTTAATTAATTTGCATATTTAACTAACTCACAAGTCTTTTGGGCTGGTTTGTGTTCTTTTTTGGTTGACGATCTAGCATGATCTCCATCTGTTTGACTGGAATCCGCACCATCCGATTCGTCTTCGTCGGATGACGCTTTCTGTGTGCCCAAATCGTAATCGAATGCAACTCCATCGAAGCCTTGAGAGTTTTCCGTTTCATCGACGCCGAGCTCTTTTGTCTGCGCTGCAATCTTCTCCAACTTTGTTTCGGCTCTATAGAGATTAATTTAACATATGTATTTCTCTTTTCATATATCCTTTTATAAGTATGCTTAACTTACTTCAATGTGGACTTGCGTTTAGTACGACCCGCATTACTGTAAACAGGTGCGCTATTTTCGATTTCTGCATCCGCTGCTGCCTGCGTTGCCTGATCCTCGTCGCTTAGCAGCCGCCGTCGCTTGGTGCAGGTGCGAACATGAGCCGGATAGGAGAGCTTGGTATAGCTACCTTTGCAGTTCTCGCACACCATGCGCTCTTTGATGCCACAGCCCTCCAGGTGTAACATCATGCCCAGGGCGGAGGTCAGACTTCGAAGACAGAGACGACAGCTCAAACGCTTGTGGCCCGCATCCAAATAAGTTTTCATCATTTTCAATACAGAACTGCGCGAGAGCAACTAAAAGAAATCCGTAATGTAAAAAAAGATTCTATTGCAGAATTGCAGACATACTACATACCGGAGCTGGTTCTCCGATAAGCCAGCCGACGCCGTAGTGCTCGCCGAGATGCAGTCGCCAGTCAGCCTTGTCGCAACGCGCGTGGCACAAGCCACATTGAAGATCGCCCTCGCCAACGTTATCCTCGCGCAGCTCCACCCCGCTGACCAATTGCTGACGGCTGCGTGTGAGCAGCAGGCGATGGTAAAATTCGTTTGTCTGCCGGCAGGATTCAGAGATATTCTCATTGTCGGCTGTTTGAATATCTTTGGTCTTGCGGCCGCGACGCTTGGCGTCCGGCGTGGATGCAGCAACCGGTCGCATGCTACTATCGGCGGGAGAGTCCAACAGATTCGCGCTCTCTGAAAGTGATGTTTTCGTGGAGTCAGCTATTACAGCTGATTTACGCGGACGACCTCGCTTTTTCTTGACAGGGATTGGTTCCTCCATCCCAGTCTCTTCGGGCGTAGCTGCATTTGAAACATTTCCTTCCTTTGCACATTCTGTAGAAGGCTCACCATTCTTTACCTTTACTTTCCACTTCGACTCCGGCTTCTTTTTTGCTTCTTTTACTTTTGCACTATCTGTTCGAGGTCGTTTTGCCTTTTGCTGTAATTCCGGTTGCTGCATTGCAGACTTTTTCTTAGACGTTTTTTTTTTTAGAGTATCCTCTTTGAGTAGCTCCGTTGGTTGGGCGTCTTCCAGATTCACTGCGGCAGCATCTGTATGCATTGATGCTGTCTGCGCGTTGTCAACAACAGATTCAGTCTTGGTTTTTTTGGCTGACAATTTAATGTCCGGCTGGGGCTCTACTTCCATCTCATCGTAATCAGGTGAGGCATCATCACTTATGTCCGTTTCTTTCTCCTCCGAGTGCTTGAATCGCTTACAGCTCGACGCCCCATTATCGAACCCATGAAACATGTCGCCATCGTCATCACTAGTACTGGAAGTCTTTGCTCGTTGTTGGCTCTCCGGGAGTAGCGGTCTCTTCCTTGGTAACAATGGTTCAACTTCCTTGGATTCGGCAGCAGTTGCCTGCGATTGGGCTGCCTTCGCAGATCTCTTGGTGCTCAGCACCGGTCTTGTCTTCACCAGTTTCTTTCTAGGCAGCTTAGCTGTCTCCTCCGACTTGAGCTCTTTCCCTTCGCTGGACGGCGGCAACACTTTCTCTGCTGCCAGCTGAGTAACCAGATTTTGAATCCCTAATGCTTCTGCAAATGTCCTGTCCATGGGCTCTACTCTCTGAATGTTTTGCTCGGTACTTCGAAAAGGCAATTGCGGCTTACCCTGCGACGGTGCTGCCTTCTGTTTGACGGCATCGAAAAGTGACACAGTTGACGGTGGCGCAGATTCTGGAGCGTCTTCCTCATTCTGGTTGTCCTTTGGCTTTGAAGGGTTTTGTTTGTGCTTCGGCAACTTGGGCGGATTATAGAGCTGGGTTAGGTCCCTTTCCTTTGAGAGATTCATTTGAGCCGGATTGATAACAGTTTTCTTACCGTCTGCAGCTTCTTCAGTTATCACACTTTCTGTTTCATTTGAGATCACAATTTTATCAGCTTTTGTGCTTTCCACATTTGCTACGTTTTTCTCGATCTTTTTAGTTGCATCAAGATCTTCACTCGCTGGATTTATCACTGCTTTCGTAGTGGTTTCTCTGGCAGCCGCAGTTTCCCTCGTCGCTTCAGAAATGTCGGATTCGATTTCCGTGTCAGATACTTGGAATGGTTCTTCGGCAACCTTTTTAGCTGTGGTCGTCTCATTCAGCTTCGGAGCACTTGTTTTCTTGTTGCGTTGCACCAAATTGACTTTGCCCTTTTTGGGCTTGTAAGGCACTGTCTTAACGGGTTGGGGTTTCTCCTTCGCGCACTCCGCTTCAGCCGCACGGACGGGCGCTTTAGTCATTTGCTTTTCGGGCGTCTCATCCTGGTTGGGTGATGTCTCTACCAAACTTGGGAGCTTTGTCAAAGGAGTCTTTTTCTTTGTATTGGTATACACATGTTTGGGAGCTGTTACCTTTAGCGGTTGGAACTTGGATATGCTTGGATTTTCTTCATCCTTATCATCGACAGGTGGACCTTCATTCTCTTCAGGGCGTGCGCTGCTTTGCAACTTGATGGCATTGGGACTAATACACAAGACATTCGGCTTATTGCCATTCACATTCAATGTGGCATGCAATATATCCATATCCTGCATTTGCAATATCTTGCCTATGGGCAGGTCGTCCTCTGGTCTAACAGTAACTGCAGGTGGCTTTGAGCTGTGGCTACTACCAAACTTGGCATTCATGCTCAGCTCCTCGGCGGACAGCTCCAAATAGTTATCTAAATCGGCATCTTTTTTGGCAGTCAACTGTTCTATGAAATCCACAGCGGACAGTTCATCGCTTTCCGGCTCTGATTTAACTAGCACAGATGATGATGTGGGCTTTCCTATAGATGTGGTTGCGGTCGACGACACGTGGTTATTGCCTGCTTCGTCAGCTGATGCCACCTTCGGATTTGGGGAAGTTTCTACGACTGGAGTTATCAATGATGTAGGCGGGATTGTTGTCGCCGAAGAGGTAGAGGTGGAGGCGACTGGAGTTATCGATGAATTGCAAATCTTTGTTTTTATGGCTGCTGATGGAGTTGTGATAAGGCTGGAAACTGGCCCAGTGCCAATTGTGGCTGGAATGTCAGCGCTTGGCTGCTTCTGTTGATGCACATGCTGCATTGCTTGTTTTCGCACCTCCTTGGCCAACTGAGCAAGCTCCTCACGCGGCACTTTCAGCTTGTTGACATTCAGTATCATTTTTTTGACCGGTGCGTTTGCTGCACTAGTCCCCCCCTGTAATTTTCCCAAAATATCTTTGGCTTTTTCAGTGGGCTCCTTATCTGCGGCTTTTAAATTGTCTGCATTTCTGAGCTCATTGGGCGTAGTGGGCACAATGGTTACCGCAGAGGGTGGCACTGCGGCGGATTGGCCGTTCGGCAGCCGCAGAGCTCTCAAATCGATCTTCTCATTGGGGGCCAACACCTTGTTCTCCAGAACAATCAGCGGCGGCGGAGATTTCGCTAATGGTGCAGCTGCCGCTGCAGATGCTGCTGCTGGCGGTGGAGGTGCTTGTGCTCGTGCTCGTACTGGTGATGCTCCTGCGCTTGGCGTGGCTGTTGTTGATCTTGGCGGTGTTGACTCCTGCTGCCTCTTTTGCTGCTGTGGTTTGATGCTTCCACACGTTGCTCGCTGCTTGGGCAACTGATTCACCAGATTGAGCAACAGAGCCGGCTTGGCACGCGCCGTCAAGTCGGCTTTCGCTATGGGCATAGTAAAACCCCCTGATGCTCCAGAGCGGGCTCCACTAATCTCGGTGCTGGACGCTGTTGTTGCCGTGTCTATTGGCTGTTGTTGTACTTGGGATTGTGCGGATTTGTTCATTATTTTGTTTTTAATGAGCGCTTTAATATGCGACGATGGCTCAGACGTGGTCGTTGGGCTATTATTCCTGGCAGACTTTGAAGCTGAAGTTGGGTTGAAAAATGCATGTTAACTCTTAAGATTTTATCAAAATCGACATAAGTATATATATATAATTATATATGAGGAACATTAACTAATTAATGTGATAAATTGGCCTTCAAAAAAAATTATTTTTTTATAAAAATTTTAAAATAAAATATCCCGTTATGTGAATTGAACCCTGGCCCACAAGTCTAGCCTTAAAAGTCAAACATCCCACCACGCACATTATCATGCTACACCACAGAAAGAACCCAAACAACCCTGTCAAGTATAATACTTGAACGAATTTTGCAGGGTTAGGGCTCAAAAAAAATATAATGCCCTACATAAGGGTGTATTAGCGTTAATATTTAACCGTCTGAGGTATGGTTTTGACGGATAATTTTTTGACACAAATAACCTATAAAATAGCCAGTAATAGAAGTCTAAAAATAAAATAAAAAATCGTAGTTAAAAATATACCGGATTTACTCAGAAAAATAAATCATCTCTCGGGTCTCGTCACGAACTCGGGCCGAACACCCATTGACAACATTAAAATACTACGCGAACTTACACAGCAGCGCCACAGAACGGAATTTGCGTATAATAGCCAATACAGATACATAATAACATAATTATTTGAAACAATTAAATCAAATTTCCCCACAAACGCTTTATTGTTCTTCGGATATAGCAAAATTCAATTAAGTTAATGTAATTACCAGTCTGCTGCTCGCGTTGCTGCTGCTTTTGTGTATGCATTGCAGGCGTTGCCGCATTTGGCTGCGCTGCTGCAGAGGAGGCGGCAGATGCTGGTGTCGAAGCAGTTGTTGCTGATGCAATATTTTTGCTTGCATTCATATTTTGTTTACTCAATGCCTCTGCCAGTTTCACATGCAAGCCAACCTGCTTTAATTTGTTAAAATCCAATGGTATTTTATTGATAATACGTTTGGGCGATGGTCCCGCATTGTGCGACGGCGATTGCGAGGAAGACATCGGCATCTTGTTATTTTTTGCTTGGTTCTGCCTAGCGTTAGCCATTGCTGGTGTTTTAAAACAATGCTTTTCCGCTTCTTCCATTTCAATTAAAGCATAGTCTGGTGTATCCAATTACGCAGCGAATTGTCGTAAATTACAAATCTACATTACAATTTATTTTCGAAGCACATTTCCGGCTGCATACAAGATTCAAATGAAACGCGAACTAGGTATTATACACTTGGATTATATCAATTTATTACTCTCACTTATTAAGTGCTAATAATTAGCCGAACTTTTAATTAATTTAAACTTTTATATGCAAAAAATGCGAAACATGTGCAACTCCTAACACTGACAAGAGTGACCGTTTGTCAAAAGCAGCAATATCCAGCATTAATAAAATGATCGATACATCGAGTGAATGGCTGATTGTTGTGAAGAATCAGCATTCGATGAAAGGCCGTAAGAACCATTTGCCACAGCTCATTGCCAAATGGATAGTCTTTTATAACAAAGTATAATTGCAACCATTTGTATTCTCAGATAATTTACTAGTTATTGTTCAGTATCATCACTAACCAAATAACATATAGACTGGACAAACCCTACTTTTGAGGGTGACATTCGATATTTCTGCGGCTGGTCCAAACTCGCCTTCGTTTTTGTTCGGGTTCGAGACATGCCCGCATGCTCTCAGAAGCAAGAGAGTAAGAATACATATGGCCTGTGTCGGGGAACGGCAACGCTGTCTTTTTACTCGCTCACTCTACAAGAAACTGCTGTGGCTTACTCTCATTCATATGATTTGTGCGATAGAACGGCATCGCTGTTTTTTATCTTGCTCCCACTACAGGAAACTGCTTTGGCTTACTCTCAATGCTCTTTCAATTTGTCTATGTACCGTTTAAATGTTTGTGTGTGTATTTGTCCGCACAAGCAAAAATGCCCAGAAATTCAATTTTTGTCAAAAGTCGGTGGCATATCTTCCCTTTTGAGGGGACGAGTAATATGAAATAATGATAGGGTTTGCCCCGTCGATGCGAAATTCTTTCATTTTAGCTCGTTCTTCTTCGAAAGGGTACCTAAGCGTTGGCATGTGTGCATTTAAAAGTTTTTGGACTTGCTATTCACGCATATTTGCGTATTTTGTATATGAATAGAAGCCTTTATGCGCATGTGTGCGCCTGTTGGTCCCTGCCTGCCTGTCCGATGCAAATTTGACAATATTTTTGGATTTCCGAATTTCGAGCTCTACACACACACATAGAGACACAAATGTGTGTGAATGGGCTGATCATGGGCGCAAAATTTAAAAATATCATTTTTGGCACGCGTCTGATGCGCGCCCTTCTTTTTATGATTTAGGGCTTGAATTGATGAATGAATGTTGACCCCTCATTACCTGTAGATCAAATTCATATATGAAAAAGCTAAATATTTTAAGACAATAAAATTATTAATACTATCAATATATAATTGCTCCTAAAATTAGTTAAGTGATCAGTCACTTGACCTACATATGCAGGTGCAGGTGCTTGCCAAAAGTTGACCCTTTCGGCCCAACGGGCTGCTGCAGGTAATGAGGGGTCAACATTCATTCATCAATTCAAGCCCTAAATCATAAAAAGAAGAGCGCGCGTCAGACGCGTGCCAATAATGATATTTTTAAATTTTGCGCCCATGATCAGCCCATTCACACACATTTGTGTCTCTGTGTGTGTGTGTAGAGCTCGAAATTCAGAAGTCCAAAAATATTGTCAAATTTGGATCGGACAGGCAGGCAGGGACCAACAGGCACACATGCGCATAAATGCTTCTATTCATATACAAAATATGTTAGTATGCGTGAATAGCAAGTCCAAAAACTTTTAAATGCACACATGCCAACGCTTAGGTACCCTTTCGAAAAAGAACGAGCTAAAAAGAAAGAATTTCGCATCGACTTGGCAAACCCTTTCATTATTTCATATTACTCGTCCCGTCAAAAGGGAAGATATGCCACCGACTTTTGAGAAATTGAATTTGTGGGCATTTTTGCTTGTGCGGACACATACACACACAAACATTTAAACGGTACATAGACAAATTGAAAGAGCATTGAGAGTAAGCCAAAGCAGTTTCCTGTAGTGGGAGCGAGATAAAAAACAGCGATGCCGTTCTATCGCACAAATCATATGGATGATAGTAAGCCACAGCAGTTTCTTGTAGAGTGAGCGAGTAAAAAGACAGCGTTGCCGTTCCCCGACACAGGCCATATGTATTCTTACTCTCTTGCTTCTGAGAGCATGCGGGCATGTCTCGAACCCGAACAAAAACGAAGGCGAGTTTGGACCAGCCGCAGAAATATCGAATGTCACCCTCAAAAGTAGGGTTTGTCCAGTCTATATGTTATTTGGTTAGTGGTATCATTTACAGAAAATATCGGTATTGATTATAATCGATAATTTTGTATGTCAAACACAATTTGACAACCCTGTTTAGCAAAAATACAGCGTTTGCTTTTCTTGTAAAAGGTTGATTTAGTTAAATTCACAAAAAACATGGATTTCCAGAATCGCGCCGGTGGCAAAACCGGTAGCGGTGGCGTCGCCTCCTGGTCGGAGACAAATCGCGAGCGAAAAGAACGCCTGCGACAGTTGGCGCTCGAAACCATCGATCTAAACAAGGATCCGTATTTTATGAAAAACCATCTCGGCTCCTATGAGTGCAAACTGTGCCTGACACTCCACAACAACGAAGGCAGCTACTTGGCGCACACACAGGGCAAAAAGCATCAGGAGAATTTGGCCCGTCGTGCAGCCAAAGAGGCCAAAGATGCGCCCTCTTCGCTTCTAGCGCCCGAGAAGCCGCGCGTGGAGCCCAAAAAGTTTGTGAAAATCGGTCGTCCCGGATACCGAGTGACAAAGCAGCGAGAGCCCACCAATGGTCAGCAGTCGCTGCTCTTCCAGATCGATTATCCAGAGATAAGCGACGGCATTGTGCCCCGCCATCGCTTCATGTCCGCATATGAGCAAAAGATTGAGCCACCAGATCGTAAGTGGCAGTATCTGCTCTTCGCTGCCGAACCCTATGAAACCATTGGCTTTAAGGTGCCGTCGCGGGAAGTGGAGAAAACGGAGGGCAAGTTCTGGACGCACTGGAATCGAGATACCAAGCAATTTTTCTTGCAGTTTGCGTTCAAATTTGAGCCAAAGATATTGCCTCCACCGCCGCCGAATTTGCATCGCGCCCTGGGACCGCCAGCCGGCTTTCCCATGCCGGGTCCACCACGTCCGGCCATGCATCCCATGTTCAATGGCGTGCCGCCACCACCACCTATGTAACCTATCTCTTCTAATAGTAACAATAAAAACAATACTTTTCTGTAAAGATTTACATCTTTCTCGGCGGGAATCAAAATTACGTATGATGCACGTGCTCGCTAAGACAGAGTCTTGGAAAATTCTACCTGCGGTTTGCCATGAAAGCATTCCCATTGCCAAAAGAGCGTTGCCTTGACATGGCAAGCTTCATTTGCAGGAAGTCATCTCAAATCCCATATGTTCTGCAGCTGCCTTTTTTGGCCACAAACATTTTGCAGAACTAGGATGAGGATTGTAATTTAACACAGAATAGAATGTTGATGTAATAATAAATAAATAATGGGAGAAGGTGGACAACAATGAGCCAGCTTAGTCGGGGCAATTCAGTAAAATCTCCACTTGAATCGCTGGCAGGTTGCATGTAAACTAAAATCTTAGTCGTCTATCAATCAATAAAAGAACACAAATAGAATTTCTATTATTTCTTTGCTTAAGAACTTGAAAAAATATTACATACTTAATGATAATTGTGTAGTTATTTTGTGTGATTTCTTCTTTAGTTTTCTGTTTTTGTAAAGTTTTATCTACAAACTTTTATGCGTAAAAATTAAATTACTTTAAAACTAATGACGTACATAGTTATCTTAGGCAATATACAAACTTATCAATATATGAATATATAGCTAAAGGCGCAACGTGTCGTTGTAGGCTTCGATTCGCTTTAAATTTTCAACATAATTATAATTTCTCGCGTTTCTTAAAATTGCGCTTCGATTGCAAACGATTGATTATGTCCGAGACGTGAGGTTTGTGATCAAAGATCTTCATTAACTGATTTTGGGCCTCGTTGATGCCATCGGTAATAATCTTGCTACGTTGTATGTTGCCCTGTGAAGAAAAGTTACAGTTAGTTACGCAAATATATATCCATATCGATTAAGACTCACCTTTAAAAGCTCACTAATTCGCTCTATTTCGCCGAGTTTGTCTTTGTCCTTTTCCAGTACCTTCAACATAGTTTCCAGTTGGCTTAAGCTAACCATTTCCGAATCATTCTGTAAATTTGAATATGTATAAAGCAACTCTCTAAAAGAAATTGTTTGATCTTACCAAGTCCTCCATTTGCGAGCGCAAATGATGAATCTTCCAGCCGCTAATCTTCTTCTGAACATTTGGTTGATTGGCCAGATCGATGACTGTAGCACGTCGTTCATCGCGCGGCTTTACGTCCGTGTATCGATGGAAATGATTGTTCGCCAGCTTGTGCGTCGGCTTGTATGTCTGCATTATGGACAAGAATCGTGTGTTATAATCATAAACAGTTTGGACGGATGCCCATTTGTTGTAGTAACTCACATTGAGCAGTGCACAATTACGCGGACGTCGCAGCACAAAGTCCACAGGATTTGCGTTCTCCTTGTTGCCAGCAACGGCCGGCGTACCGCTGCCAGCCACACGATGATTGTTCACATCGCCAGCGCTAGCATTGGGCGTGGTGGCTGCGCTGCCGGCGGCGGTTACCAGCAGGCCGCCGTTGTTGTGTTGCTGCTGCTGCTGCTGTTGCGTGAAAGTCGCTGCTGTCTCTTGTGTGGTGCTGCTGCTGTGGCTGCTAACACTGCCCATTGGCGGTGGCAGGGACAGTGATAGCGATGCCTGACTTTGATTGGAGTGCTGACTATCGTTGCTGCGGGTTTATAAAGCAAAGCAAACGTTTCGTTTAACATATTTACATATGGTAAAATATTCACAACTCACGTGGATCGTCGCGGTTTCTTGCGCGCTAAGCCGTAATCGGAATTGCTGCCATTTCCGCCGGTGCCATTCATGCGCGCCTGCTGCAATTGACTCGCCGTCAGTGTGGTTGCTTGTGTTGTTACCAGATGCGATGCCTGCTGCTGTGGCACATCCACAAAAGCGCTAGCAACACCGCTGCCACGTGCGCCCAGCGTTGTATGCGTCACATTCTGCGGTAGCGGCGATTGATGTGATGAGTACAGCTGGAAAGCATGCAAGGATTAAGTCGAGTCGAGTTCGAATTGATGATCAAAAGAATAACTCACCTCGTTTATGGGATTAAAGTGTGTGGCATTGTCGCGCACTGCAGTTCCTGTGGGTTCGTCGCCAATTCGGTTAATCGACAGATTGCTGTCCTGCATTTGCTGATCCACGCCGGGCGAAGAGTTCGCCGAGACTGTAGTGGAGCCATCAGAAGAAGCCGGCGACTCGGCACGCACATTTCGTGTGCTCACAATGCTACCAGCTGTTGTCGAGATTGACGCTGTGGACGCCGATGAGGCACCAATTGCAGCTGCTGCTGCTGCGACAGCGGAACTGACACGCTCCCGTTCCTTTTTGGCCAGTGCCTCAACAGTTAGGGCTGAGCTGACCGCTGTTGTGGTCGGTGGTTGCGGCGCCGGCGTCACTGTGACTGGCTGTAAATTAAAGGCCGAGCCGCCAGCTAGATTCACCGCAGTAACATTTCCCACCGTTGCTGAGGCGTTACTATTGCTGCTCATGGAGAGCAGCGTGGGCGCCAAATTCTTGACACCACGTATGGGCGACCCCTCTGCATCTCGTTTGCGCATGAAACTGGACACGAGTGTATTTGCCGCGACCGGCACTGGCATAGGCAATGCACTAACTGTGGCGCCGCCGCCGGTCGTTGTTGGCACGGCTCCTGTTGTCACCTTGACGGATGTGTGCAATGGTATGACCATGTGCTGAGGTTGTCCACCAGCTGCATGTGCAGCGCCCGCCGGTATAATGAGCTGCTGATGTCCAATGGTGCGATTGCCACCTGCAGCTGCCGACGATGGTAGCACCGTAAATGTGGCTGTGGATCCGCCGCCGGTTCCCACTTGCTGCGCATGGCTGGCAAAGGGGAGCGAGGACACGGAAAGGCTGCTGCCGCCACTGCTGCTCACCAATTGGGCTTGTGCCTGGGCTTGTGCGTGAGTCTGGCCATGCGTATGGGTGCTCTGGGTGACCGTCGTGGTGGTTAGCGAGAGAACGCCCGTTGAGGCTGGCATGGACTCATAGTAGATGGCCGAACTGCCCGGCGGCAGAAACGATGTCCCTGTCGAGGAGGTAGCCACAGAAGTAGCCGCTGTCGCTGAAACGCTAACCCCGCTGCCTCCACCGCTGCGTTGCTGTATAAATACGTTGGTCGCTGTGCCAGCGGGCGTCAAGCCACTGCTGGTTGACACATCCACTCCAGCTGACTGTGTCATCATCATTTTGCCCACAGTTATGCCGCTGGCATTCTTGATGGGCGTCAGTGTGCCCGTCAAAATGTTGCTGGCGGGTCCGCCACGTCCGCCAATCGTCAAAGGCAGCACCGTGGCGCCGCCGGCAGCGGCCACAGCTGCTGAGCTACCACCTGACACGGAGCTGGGCGTACCGCTGCCCGATACACTCGGCACCGCCTGTATGCTAGCCACGCCTTGCGGCGCCATTGTGGGCCCACCAGCTCCGCCTGCCGTCGAGAGTTTGCCAATCGGACTCAGCTGCGTAATGGTCAGCGAGGGCTGCACCTTAGCGGTCATTGTAACCGGCGGTCGAATGCCTGCAAAGAAAACCGATCAAAAATTGTTATATCTATACATTTTTTTTTATAAAATAATAACAAATGATCCACCCATAGCATACTTCTATAGATTGTAGATATATTCGCAGAGAATGTTTAGCTCCATTTATGCATATCTCCACATACACATACATAAGACCTTACTATGAGCTGTCAATTGCAAACTGTTTACGTTCATCAAGGTTTACACGAGGCAATTGAATCGTGATTAGAAATCTATCGATTAACTATCATAAAACAAATTTCTCTTGCGAGAGCTCGACAACTTAACTAGTTTAAAATATATGTAAAATTTAAAAACATATAATATAAGATATATTTCTGATTCCCCTTCAAATTGTTGTAATTAAAAGATGTAAAATATTTGATGGGACCAATTGTGTTATTTTCTATAATATCGAAACCTTATGCACTTACCCATTTTGGCCGCCGCGCTGGTGCTCATGAGGAAGGGCTGCAACATCACATTCGGGGCCAGACGAGTTGTAGATCCAATGATTTGGTGCGCACCGCCAGTTGCCGGCTGCTGCAGCTGAATGATCCGTGTGGTGGGCAAATTTGCGGCAGTTAGGGCAACGGGCGCAACGTTTGTTCCTGCGCCAGTGCCACCAGGCCCTCGACCTGCCACCGTGACGCCACCGGAGACGCTCACTGGTGTGGGCGGAGCAACGTTGGAGTTTAGCTGAGGTATGCTGGGCGCTCGAATGCTTATGCTTGTGGTGTTCAGCTTGGTGGCCGGAAAGCTTTTGCCCAACGGTATGGGACGTACCTGACGCGGCGTAACCGTGGTGCCGCCCGGTGTTGTGGCTGTGCTCGTAGCGCTGCCGATAGGCGTGGCAACGGCAAATCGAGGATTGAACTGCTGATTTGGAATCGTGTTGGGCGAGCCGGCAGCTGACATATTTGAGGAATAGACCAGCGTCGCTTGGTGCTGGCGCGGTGGCAGAACGGTGGCAACATAAGCCTGAGGAATACCCGTGGGTCCTGATGGCTGCGGCGGCATCGGCTGTGCTGCAGAAACTGTAAGAGCTAGAAGAAGGAACATTTGCAATTATTTATAAAAGATCTGATAGTTTTTTAACATGATTCTCTGCTCACATGTTGGCGTCTGAACAGGTGTGGCTGTCGTGGACACGTTGGCGCCGGTCACGCCCGCTGATGTGGTAATGATGCGTTGCCTGGGTTGATGAATGGCACGTATGAGTTGTACCTGCCCGGTGTTGCTCTGCATCCAGGCCGCCGTAGCGGTGCTATTGGCCGACGAGATGACCGTGGAGGGCTGCGAGGTGCGTACAAAATTACCCGTACTACTGAGGCCCGTGGGGGCCGGACTGACGCTGGCCGTGGATGTCGCACGCAGCGGGGTGACCAGTCGTTGGGCCCCCGTCACACCCACGCCGCTCATATGGGTGGCCGTGACGCTGGCACGCGGCAAATAAGTGGCCTGTGTAACTGGCCGTGTCACCGTAATGGATGCATTCGAGACGCTGCGTGCCGGCGTCGCTGGTATGGCTGTGATTTGTGTTCGGCCCGTGGCTGTGACATTCTCCAGCTGCTTGATCATGGGCATGACGACGCGCACCTGTGTCGACTGGCCGCCGGCGCCAATGGCTCGTATGGAGGCGGCAGTGGTAGCCTGGCCAGTGTTCAAGGCAATGGGTGTGCCGCTGAGCGATGTCTGCACAGTGTTCCCGCCGGTGGCCACTTTAATGGTGCCGCCGCTAATGATGGGCGTTCCGGTTATAGAAATGCCACCGTCGGCCTTCACGTGCGTTATCTTGGCGGCAACTGTGGAATGTGCTGCTGGTGGCAAATGAGGTAATGAGTATCTGTTAATGGCGCCACGCAAGTGTACGTGCGATTGTGTGGGTGATACCATTGCATTTTGTTTTGTTGTGTTGGATATCAAGTGCATTGTATTTAGATGGGGATGAGTGCGTATCTTAACGGCTTTTAATGTGGCTGTATTTTAGAAAATAAAAAAAGGAATGGAGCAACACTTTTCTAGCTTATTGTAATTGGCAACGCCACGAAAAATAATAGCTGGCATCGCTACGACAGATTCACAATAACAACAAAACATACACACACTTACACACAGCCATATGCTACGAATGTGAGGGAAAAGAAAATTGTAACAAACACTGCGCGCGTATGCGACCATAAAAGAGAACTAACAAGTACACTGGCACACACATACACGTGCAATTGCAAAGCCCAAAAATGTTATGTATACACACTAATGCCAACACATATATGTATTTATATCTACCTATGTGAGTATACATTATAGATATCGCATCAAATACATACCAGGCGCCGTAGTCGTAGCTGTACCTCCAGCGCTGCCACCCACCGCACCGCCTGCTCCACCTTCACTTGACGCGCTCATGCTTTCCAAAAACGCAGTAAATTTGTTGATAAAAATACTGTAAAAGTATCAATCAAAACTAATTTAATATTCGTCTTTATGCTGTTGCGTTTTTCTTATCAAACCACTGTTCATACATACTTATATATGTATACAATTGCATACGTTTGTATGTATATATGTGTAGAGGTTTTAAATGCACACGCACTCAAATTGTACCTTAAATTGTATTTATCAATGCTGTTTCTTTTCAAATTTATTTACCTTGCGTTTTTTCTTATATTTGTGTACACTGTGTACAAAATAAGACTTTTCACTATTTATTGTGTACCCTTCTGTTTATTTTAATAATGGTAATGCTCCTTAGAGACGTATGCATATCGCTTCTTTTTTATCGATAATATAAATAAAGCGAATCTCATATTATATCAATAGTTTATCACGGAATATATATTGGCGCGATTTTTTATGTGTGGTTCTTTTTATGAGCTTTTTTGGCAAAATACACCTAAAACGACATGTATATTTACAGCACAAATATTTACAATTCTAATAATCCAAGTATCTTTACCGGTTCATCGATAATCTTGCGCAATATTCTTAGCAGCCACACTTAGTGCCAATGACAACTCTGGGCGATGCAGGTTAGCAGCATATATTGAGTATAACAGCGAGTTAACATTAACACTTGCTGCGGTATGAAGAAGAAAATGTTGAGAATTCCTCAAAGAAGAAGAAATGCTGTAAAGCATAACATTGCCAATCGCGAAGTGGAAAAGACATACACAATTGAGATCAATTGAAAAAAATTAAAGCTTGTAGAAATTAGTTTCCTAATTAAAATATTGGCCGGGAGTGAGTTACAAATTTTCCTTCGGTGCGTGCGTGTGCGTGTGTGTGTGTCAGGGTGAGTGTGTGTGCGTGGAAACTAAATAAATTGCACACACAGCAGTTCTAGCACACGGGAATACACCAGTGTTTAATTTAATTACAAGCCAAAAAGCAAAGGCAGGTGTGTGTTTGTGTGCGTGGTCGATAAATGTTTATATCAAGTGCAAGTTGGAAAACAGCTGGCAATAAACTAGCCCCGTTTGCAAAGTTCACGAAAACGCTAGTCGCGGCAGTGAGTTAGCGAAAAAATTGATTTTCCACGACGATTGCAGTTTCAGAAAGCAGCGCACAGCTGAATAGTAAACCCTCGCCCAACACCCCCAATCAACTGTGCGTGTGTGTGTGCGTGAGTAAAGGAGGGCTGCCCGTAGTTACTGCAGCCAGCTTGTGATATAAGGCAGAAAAAAAAAAATCAAAATCGCGTCACTGCCGGCGCATGCAATGAATATTGTCGGGGAATATGAATACAGCTCCAAGGATATGCTTGGCCATGGCGCCTTTGCTGTGGTCTACAAAGGACGTCATCGCAAGGTAAGCAAACGTCACATCAATTTCTTGTTTATCTAATGTGTGTGTGTGTGAGTGAATGTTTTTGCAATTTGTTATTGTTAATTTCAGTGTGTGGGCTTGGCTCGCATTTGTAAAAATGACAACAACAATCATTTTAACAATGCGCCATTGTCAAAGCAAACTCAAGCACACGAGCGGGCATGCGAATTTCGCATAAAACGCAATTAAAGAGTGTGTCCACACCTACAACGAAAGTGCCTTCCGCTCTTGCTCTTGCCAAATGTCAAAGGCAGCCTAAAAAGTGACAGCGCAGCGGGCAGAGCGACGTCGCAGCCAGAGCAGCGCGATGCCCCTTTGTTATTTGTATTTATATACATATACATACATATATTTTTTCCTGTTGGGAGCTCCTTGGGCGTTACTCGCTATCTATAAACTTGGCTAGCGCTCTGCCGCTCTTGTTTATGTTTTTGTTTTGCCCATTGCTGCTTTTACACTTATCTTATTATTGATATTTTAAATTATTTCAAGAGAATTAGTTCGATTGAAGCTGTTCAAAACACGTGTTTTTGTTAGTTTCGTATGCTCTGTTTTTGTTTTGCGACGCTATTTGAGGCCCATACGCACACAACATACATACATACAATTGTTCGGCTTGCGAGCATTGCTGTATATATGTACATACATGAATACACATGCATATATGCTTTTGTGTGTGTGTATGGTTTCTGCGTGTTTTGCTTTAAGAGTGTTTTGAACTATTTCAGGGTCGTGCCAAACCATATTTCTACTTTGCTTCACTTCGTTTATGTTTATGGGCGGAATTGGATGCGTACGCACATTAAATCACAGCAAAATAGTTTTGTCACGTGTAATTTCATTTAAGCATCTTTATCACTGAACAAGATTTAAAATCTAAATTGACTCAATTTAATATTTCGTAAAATGAGCTTGCAAATTAAAATGATTAAACTTTGTTGTATATAAAGCTCAGACTAATATGGAAAATGCATATACATATATACCGTACCCGCACAGAGTTAGCTATTTATGCAGTTTTAATTAAGAGTCTAGTTATATAACATCTGATATGAAAACCTTTGGGTTTTGAAATACTTCCTCATTTTGTTTCGATTTAAAAGGAGCCAATTTTAATTAGACTAATATGGAATACTATACCAATATTCAACAGCTCAGACGGAATATTTTAACATTTATTAAACGTTAAAATTTATCTCCGTTTTGCCTGTAGACAAAAAGGGAATGTCAACAAAGACCCAAAGAAATATTGGAACCAAAGAATATTGAAGACATCATGAAAACAGGTTCCGCCAATCTGTCTCAGACACAAAAGCAATCAAGAAATCAAAAGTTACAACTCGTGTGAAAATATATAATGAAAAAGTGATTTACAAATCAACGGAAAGAAATCAAATAGAAAGAGATGACAGCACAATGAGAGAGCGAGAGAGAGAAGAAATGAGAGTCGTACGCGTGCAACAAATGGGTCGCACTCTATTGTTGCTGTTTGTTATTATAGGTGCTTGTTGTGACTGCATTGTAATTAATAGTGCGCCCATTAAAGGCAAGACGAACTTGAACAATAAAAAAAATACACACACGCACACACATACATACGAACAAAAACGAATACAAAACAAATGTGTCAGCTTTTTTTCTAGACCATTTGATAAGCGTTGCGATTTTTATATGTGTGTGTAGCTCTAGTTTTAATTGCTTTGCTTTCTTGTTTCTAGTGTTTGTTCTGTCTCACAAATTTGTTAGCTGCTCTTGGCCATAAGGTGTGCCGATATATATATTTATATATATAAATATGTGCCATTACCATATGTTTGTGCATACGTTTATAAACAGAGATGCGTATCTTATGGATACCCAAAACAGCTGATGCAATAACCCGCAGCTGTTGCCGCAAAAGTTTTCATTTTTAGCATTTTACTCGGCTGTTTTTGTTTTGATTTGTTGCTTTTTTTTGTTCATGTTTTACTTTGCCTTGATATCAGTTGGTTATTATGTGCTTTTAACGTGATTTTATTTGCTAAAATTCATTATTCAACAAGCCATATTTTCTTTAACTGAGAAAGTTATATATGTATGTGTATATGTATGCATAATTAAAGGTAATTACGTTGCCTGAAATATAGGAAGCTCTCGAACGCTAGACTATCCACTCATCAGGTCCCAATCAAGTTTTTAGTTAATTTATTGGTTCTGCTTTCTGGTTTTCACGACTGTTTTTTGCTTTGTCGAAAATGGAGGAGCAAAGGCCGGTGAAATACTCTTTTTGTTCTGTGACATTTATCCACAACGTTGCCAGGCAGATGCACGTGCTCCGCATGGCAGCTATCTATAAATAGTTGGCCACAGCGAACATGTGCAGGCAGACAGCAGACAAAACAAGATGCAGTCACATATGCACAGCCCATAGACGAAAGATACTGCAGCCTGCAGACCGACCCGAAGCACTACAAGATCTGATACCCAATATAAACAGCCATACATACAGATGGCATGACATCGCTGGAGCTAAGAACTGAATGAATTAATGCATATACAACGGTTGCACACATGTGCAAATTGTCGGCACGTGTTTCAATAATATCGAGGTTCAGTTTCTGTTTATACCATAAACCCATTGAAAATAGGTAAAAAGGGTATAATGTTTTTGTGCAAATGTATGTAACAGGAGGAAGGAAGCATCTCCGACACCATAAGGTGTATATATTCTCGATCAGCATCAACAGCCGAGTCGATCTAGCCATGTCCGTCTGTCCGTCCGTCCGCCCATCTGTCCATATGTCCGTCTGTCCTTATGTATGAGCGCAAGGATCTCAGAACCTATAAGAGTTAGAGACTTGAAATTTTAGCTGTAGGTCTTACTAGTGCCCGCGCAGATCGAGTTTGTTTTCAATATTCGATAATTTGCCCCGTTTACAATAATCGATAAAAATCGATATCGAAATACTGTTTTTTGAGCAATTTTGGTAAATAATAAGAGCTAAAATCACCAAAGTTGACATGTAGCTTCTAGAATAGTATATATATATCAAGTATCTTTCATTTTATACCTATTGCCTGTTGGAAGAAGTGGGTTCAGGGTATCCCCTAGTCGGGAGCTCCCGACTAGAACCTCTATTGTTTTCTCTAAGCTCTTTCTACGCTTCTGTTTGTGCTCGTGTAATTGCATAATGCAAAAGCCCGCATTGAGAATCATGCAAAAATGTCATTATAGTGCGAAAATATGCATTAACGAGGGCTAGTTTAAAAGAAGGTCAGCTTAAATCAACTTTAAATGTTATTTCTTTACAATCTATTTGAAATATTAAACACACTTTATCCACGAGATTTTACCTGATTTATAAACTTTATCTATTTATCTATTTATTTATCAATATAGAATGGTGCATTGTTTTTAGGCAACCCTCGCAAAGCTCCTTGTGTTTCATAAAATATTATGACAAGGTTTTGTAATACCTTCTCCCTCTTTCTGTTTTCCTATGTGTCTGGCGCTTTGGCTGCACGCGTTTCAATTCTCGTTCATGTTGATATTATTATTGTTGTTGTCGTTGTCGTTGCTGTAATTGTTGTTATTTTAGTTGTAGACTGTGCATATTTACTTTTCATAATTGTGCAATTGCATTTCGCATTTGATTTTGTCGTAGTTTGTTGATATTGCTGTTGTTATTGCTTTGAATTCTGTCGTTTTAAATGCGTTTCAAGAAATTGCCGGTCGACTTGCATGAGCAGCCTCTAACTTAATTAGAATTATACAACAGAATTAACAGAATATTTAATCTACGTATTGATCTATTGCAACTATTTATAATGGGTAAAACAAATTGGAATGCGATATGCAAAGTAGTTCGATTGAATAAATTGTAAACCAAATACTTTGACCATTTAGGAAATGTGGAAATAGAAACTATTTTGCAAAACAAAACTGTGCAAAATGTTCTTTCAAAACATTTTCCAATATTCAAATTGATTGTAAATGAAATTGAATGCAATTGGGATTAGTTTCCATTCTTCATTCTCTTGAAAAGTAAGACTAAGAATAATTAGATTATATTATAGCAATTAATTAGATTCCAAACGATCGCGGAAGTTACTTCTAGACAAGGCCTTCAATGGCTCGAAAAGTTCTTGACCCAATCACCTACATATACTCATAGGGCAAAACTATCTAAAACATATGCTCGAAATGCAAATAAAGCAATAAATAAAACCCAAATGTTGTCCAAAACGAATGTGAAAGTTGATGATGATTCGCCAAGCGGAAGCTGACACCACACGTCCGCCCCGAAAAACTTCACGAGAAATCACAAAAAAACACATTTCAATTGTGCGAAATTAGTTGGGCGCATATGACGAATGTTAATTTGGGTTAACTGGGGTTCAATGCACCGTCCGGCTTTGTGCGGCTGTGATAAGGCTAACAGGCCACAACAAAAGTAAACAATCGCGAAAGAAATTTAAAGCCAAAGTGCAATGGCCTCCAACTAAAAGAGGGAAACAAATTTTGGACAGAAATGGCAAAAAATAATTGCGCAGAAAATGCGAGAAACAAAACAAAGCTGCTGCCGACTCAAAGTATCTGACAGATACACACATAGGCACAAATTCACTTGAGAGCTGCTGCAACTGGTTTGCCTGGTGAAAATGTAGCTGGAAAAGCAAACCGAAACGCCTGGCGGAAAACTCTTTTGGCAAAACTACGTCGCAGGTTTTAAATTTCGCGCAACGCGTGATTGACTCAATATGAAAAGACATGCGAGCCACGAGACAGTTCAACGTGCATGACCATGAAATACCCCGTGTTTCCTTTGGGCTTCGACATAGACTCTTTTGAAACAATTTCTGATGCAAATTAAAATGGTTGAGCTATGATCAGGGCTAAGTGAAAATGGCATATTGTAGAAATGGAGATCCAGTTGGCTTCTGGTACACCCAAATAAAGGTGGATCTATAATCAGAACAAAATGGAAATGGCATGTGGTAGAAATAGATGTGAAGTTAGCTTCTGGTATACCCAAAAATCGGTAGATCTATAATCAGGACAAATTGGAAATAAAAAAATTATAGAAATGGAGATAACGTTAGCTTCTGGTACACCCAAAAAAAGGTGAATCTATAATCAGGACAAAATGGAAGTGACGTATTAGAGAAATGGAGATCAAGTTAGATTCTGGTAAACCCAAAAATTGGTTGATCTAAATCCAATCCAGAATGGAAATGGCATGTTGTAGAAATAGAGATCAAGTTAGCTTCTGCTATACTAAAATGCCAGCCCACACTCCATTTAATAGAGGGTATATTCATAACTCTACCGGGTGTTGTTTAGTCCATATTATGTATTATGAATTGGAAATCAGAATATATATGTTAGAACATCAGCGAACTGGAACTACTGTGAATTGTTTGTTAAACCAGTTTCTGTGAGAATTTAGATCTGGCTATACGTATATAGATATCTATATACTGTGTGGACATTTGATTCAAGAACAGACAATTTATGCGCATATATTGTTAGCTAATTTGCACGTGGAAATTTTTGTAGTGTCTGGGACCTGACTGAAATGCGATAGATCCATTAATGATTGCTGCTTTCGTTTTGAGCCAATGCATCGGATTGTTTGTTTTGTTGATTATATAATTAAAAGCTTTTGCAACTTCCGACTGTAGCGATAAAAACTGAATTTAGTTTGCTTTTTTTTACAAACGATACATATTGAAGAATAAGGAAAAAAAACAAGCTTTCGTTTATTTATCTCAAGTATTGTAGTCAAAATGGTTGGGAAATAGATTGAGATTAAAGATATTTTTATTTGTTTATATAAATTAAGTTGCTGCCCTGATATTATACATGAAATTTGGTTTATATAATTGTTTATCCGATCTTTTATTTGGCAGTAAAATGGAAGTGAAACTGAAATTTTAATGATCACTTTTGTTTTTATTGCTATATATTTTTGTTTTGTACTTGTCTTTGGCTTCATATTGTTGTTATCTTTTGATTCATTGTCCCTTCGTGACTCTGACCTAGGCCAGAGTCTGTAATCAGCCCAAGTAAACGCCGTATCTGCCAATGTACCCAGCGACGATCTGTTGAAGTACCATTAAACAATTATTTTTAATTAAAGTGCCGTGTGGCAACAAGAGCAATTTATTACTATATATTTTGTTTTGTTATTAATATGCTTTTAACAAACAAACAAACAGATGCATTATAAAAACCAGCCCTGTTATCGGTCAAGTATTTCTGATTGTCAACGTTTATAGAAAATGCAAATTGCTTTAAATATAAATTGTATTTTGCCCGCAAATGGAATTAACTGGTTACGCTTCTCAGGCTCAAACTATGAAGAAGCAAAAAAAGATTTGCTATGACAAAGTATTATTAATGTCAAAAGTAATAGAAAGCAAAGAAAAGCAAAAAGATTTAAGGTGAAATTGAACTAGAGTGAACCTTCAAGGCGAAATATAAAAGAACAACTGAACAAAGTAACAAAACAATCAAATATCAATAATAGCTCAATAGTTGGCTGCTAGGAAATTGAATGTGTGAATGCCCGGCTTAAATAATACGAAGTCCGCAACAAATACGGCGAATTATACGTCATGGCATATTTAATACAAGTGCAAAATGAAAGGTAGTTACACAAATTAACACTTTCATCAGTTGATAGCGATGCAAGGGGAGGGATGAAGTTGGAAGGCCAACAGGTAAACAGAGACAGAGTCATTGTCACTCGTAAAGTGTTGGGCAAATAAATAACGCACTGGGCGAGACAAAGCAACGGGCGGGCCTTGCACCTTATCGCTAAAGGTAAACCGCAGACCAGTCAACGGTAAAGTGCGGATCTCAGGCCAAGTTTTGCCAGACAACCAGTCATTCGCGTAGATAAACAGCTGACGCAATTTAATGCATTTTGCGTATCTAATAATAAAACGCATTCGGGTGCGAGACACGGTACAGTTGCGTTGCAAGGGCCATATTTTATATATATATATATATATAGATACACATCCTCTATGTGCATAATTTATGGCAACGTTTGCAATTAGCGTGTGCTGTGCGGCTGGTAAAGTACTTTAAATGCGTCTAAAATTAAAACATTTTCAACTTTGCGGCGCTGCAGCATATATTGCCTCTCTATGCGCTTCTCAGCATGCATACTTTAAGCGTGTACATAATTACAAATGATTAATGAGTATTCGCAATTAAAAGCTGAAAATAGCTCACTTCAACAAAGCGGACTTCATTCATCAAACTTTATTTTACAAGGAATAACTTATTCAATAAATCGCCTCACGCCCAGTTTTAAGTGTTAACTGCGGCAAAGTGCCATTAGTAATTACGTGAATGGGTTCAAAAGTGCCTTACTCCCTTAAACTTATTAAGTGTTTTATCGAGTGACCTCTTTAAAAACTCAGTGTAATCAACGCATTTTCTAACGTTGTGCCATATAGAGGTCTGTAACGCTAGTTTTTCCTTGTCTATTTGTACTATTAATCAGATGAACGGTAATTAACACGTGACTCTGATTAATTTGTTAATTTTCCAAACATTCTCGTCACGCTTTCCTTACAAAATTTTACTTGATGCGCCCAATTTCTTTTATAAATATAATAAAGACATTTGATTAAGTTTGTATTCGGCCGTTAAACGTTAACGGATTGTCGTTCAATGACTTCAGTTTGTTAACGAACTCTAATGAATGTTAATTAATACTCTTCATTTTTCAGAAACACATGCCCGTGGCTATCAAATGTATTACCAAGAAGGGACTAATCAAGGCGCAGAATTTACTCGGCAAGGAGATTAAAATTCTTAAGGAACTAACGGAGCTGCATCATGAAAACGTTGTGGCCCTGTTGGATTGCAAAGAGTCCCAGGATTGTGTCAATCTGGTCATGGAGGTGAGTTGAATATTCTTTTATCTACTTCGCATAAAAAGAGTCTTATCAATAATTCTACCAAAATGTGCCTGGTCATTGTTTATGCCTTTTTGCTTCTATTGCTGGACAACTGTGCACGCTGTTTGCGAGTAGAGACTTATACGTAAAAATAAAAATATAAATGATATTTGGCTTAGTCGTATGACTCAGTTCGTTTGACGTAGCGACAGCAGCTAATGCAGCCGAAGTGCACGTAGGCAAGTTCCACGTCATTGGACGCTCCTCATATCGCACTCGTAAGGGCAGTTAATTCAATTGCGGAAACGAAATATCCAAGAACATTGCTTAACTATTGTATACTCTATAACTAATGGATTATACATGATTCAGCTAAATGTTATTTTCATATGTATCCTATATACAACAAATATATTCAGATATATCTAAAGTTGTTGTTTACGTTAGGTGATATTGCATAAAAAACCTTTTAAAGATACTTAGGTATGATTGATTTTATTTCAACTTCTCAATAATAACAATACATGCACGTATAAGACTTAATTTTTCGATTCCTTTTCGTGTCGTGTCCTTAAACGTTTTTGGTTGCATTGCTTCGCCTTTGAATTCAAATAACAATCTTCTATTGTCTTGCGTTTGCCTCAAATTACGTGTCCAAATATTCGTAAACAGGTTGTTTGCAAATTTTGTGTGTATATATATATATATAAATATTTCTTGCGTCAACTTTTATAGAGTTGTTTATTAGTTTTATCCATTTGTTTGTTTACTTCCTGGCATTCCATAAACGTATACGCATTTTTCTGCTCTTTTATATACGTCAGGCACACGTGTTTGTATACTTTTAGCGGGCACTCTTTAATGATTAGGTGATTTCGAAAATAGGTCAGATTCCTGTGCAAAGCATAACAAAGACCTTGATAAGATTAAATGGCGTTGTTTTGTTGTCAGCACTTTTATTTACAAAGATATCAAGATCAATTGGTCAAAAGAATAATGAATGCTTGTTGGAAATTTATGATTTTGTAGAGTCCAAATTGAGTGCAGGCTGTTTTTAATATGTAAATGCATAAAATAGATTTCGTTATCCATTCCTTTTTTGTGTGAAACTAAGCGTAAACATGCTATTCGTTTCGTCTGTTTTGACTGACTTTGACCCCATTCTGTACCCCCATTTCTGACTTCTATATTTCTAATTTGTAATGCAATATTCAGTATTGATTCAGCTATTCTCTGCCGCTCTCAAGATTCCACTTATCGCGAATCCCATAATTCTTTGTTATTGTTTGGTGTTTTGAATATTGGTATAATGTCTAGAGAAGTTTCTGTTAATAAATTTGTATAATATTTGGATAGCAAATCCACTTGACTGTCTACTTAGATATTCCAATGCATAACAAGTTCATTCTTTATGGAAAGTCACGAATCTTTCTACTCATAATCTATACGGAAAATTAGTAATTTAAATGATTCTGGGTGAATCATGCTCGAAACTCTTAACAAATGTCTATTTAATTATTATTGCTAATTTGATTTCGCGAATTTGCTGTCTCATTAAAATCTAACATTAGTGAAAGTCTCATAAAATTTATTTACTATTTACAATTATTAATTTTATTGTGTAATTGGCAAAATGTCTATATTAAGAGTAGGAAAATATCTATGAGCTAACAATTTGTTATTAGATAAATATCGATATGATGTGTGCTCTAAACGTAACCATAGAATATATAATTTTTGTTCTTGCTACCAATACGAAATGCGAGCAAACTACATGAAATACATGTCTATGAAAGCAAGGGCTAGGCGACTAGGTGACTTAAACTATGGAGCTAAAACTAAAAATTCCCCCTACAATTCGGGCACTGTTATGTAAAACTACAATTCAAACAGAGTTCAAGTCTCGTATCCGTTGGCAAATGCTGCTGTTTACATAACAAAAATTGTCAAATTTTTCACGAAACTGTTTTGGAATTATTTTGTAAGGCAGCGGCGAGTGTGTGCGTCTTAGGCTAGCTTATTTAGCGGTATTTCCTCAGTGGGATGAATCTGATCCTTTGGCTCCGGTTTCTTAGTGCGACAACATTTCGTTTTAATGCCGCCCACATCCTTGCGGCAAATCAAACCCACAATAATGCCCACAATGGCAACGACCATGATGCCTGCAATGGTTGGGTATATGAAAAATATTAGTCATTTTTTTTATTATTATTGAGAAGCGCACTTACATATGAGCAGCGTGTTAATGGTCTCCTGTGAAATGGGCACTTGATATGGCTCCTCCTTGTCTGCGGCTTTGTCACCAGTCATGATGCCCGCCTTGGACACGCTGGCCGTCTCGTTGGCCACTTTGTTGCGATTGCGATTGGCTGCTAAAACAACATTTGCCCATATACATACAGATATTTTTTATGCAATTCGAGATTTTTGTTTATTACCTGTACGCGGCGGCGATGGCGTCGCTGGCTTCGGGGTGCTGGGCAGCCCCGTCACACGCTTGAACGGCGAGTCTGTGGCCTGGATGAGGCTCTCGTTGAATGATGTGCCCAGCACCAGCTCAAAGCAGCTAACATCAAAGTTCCTGAAGCTGATGTTGTCAATGGATTTTAGAAGATTGCACAACTCTTCAATGTTCTGCTGATCTAGTTCGGGCAGTTTCAGTTTAATTATATTTTTTAGCGGCGTGAAAGCTCTCGTATTGATTTGCTGTCAAAAAAGAAGAGACAGACATTAGTATACGAAGTAAAGCGCATGCGAGTGCTAGAGCGAGACAACTATATGAGGCAAACTTAACGAGCTGCCAACCGGTTGTCTAGCTGCTGGTTCGACTATCGATAGTTGTTTCGATAGTTTGGCGCGCAACTTACTCGTTTGAATTCGTTGTGATCCAAGCGCAGCACATTCAGAGCGCTCATATTCATGAATGTCTGCTCCGGCAGCTCTGTCCAGCTGCAATTCGAGCAGCTAAACTCATTCAAACTGGGCTGATTCAAAAATGAGCCATCTTTGCGCTGCGCTATGCTGTTATTGCTCAGATCCAGCAGCGCCAGATCCGTGGCGCCCGCAAATGTATCGGGGTCAATTTTGGTCAGTTGATTGTTGGCCAAGCGGAGGCTACGCAAACGTTGCAAGCCATTGAATGCCTAAATGGGAAATGTTTAGATATAATTATATATAAACATACGCTTAATTGGCTTACCTCCTTGTCAAGATGTCTTATCAAATTGTGATTTAAATTGATTTCAAGTACTTTGGACAAATTGGCAAAATCCTCAGAACGCAACTCGGCAATAACATTGTGGCTCAAATCAATAATTGCCGCCGTTTTGGGCAAATCGAGCGGCACATGGGTCAGATGTGCATTGGTGCATTGCACATATCTGAAATCCTGCAAGCAAAGGCAATTGCGTGGACAGCTCGGCTCCAGCACATGGCTGCTGCGTCGTGGAATGCCTGCATGCGAGAAAATTAAAGAGAAGTTAGTTGGGCTGGGAAGGGAACGAAAGGAAAGGTAGATGCTTTGACTTCTACTCAGCCTTGAACTTACTGAAAATAGGCCTAAATGTGGTTGTCGTTGTTGACGCTGTTTTATCCAATTGTCGATTTGCTGCTATCTCTGCAGATATTTTATCCGACGACTCGTCAATATAATCATCATCATATTCGTAATCATCGTTGGCGTTGTTGCTGTTGTTGTTGCCTGTTTGGCTTTTGTCCGCGGGCGCTGTGTGGCTAATGCTGCAAATATTACAAAATTAGAAGAGAACGCCACCTTGTATACCTATTTGGGAAATTAGCTAAGTTAGGCGCTTTAATTAGCAATTTTCGCGTTGCCGCCAAGTTGTTTAGCCAAAAACTCTCAATTGGCTGTGAATTTATGTTTTGCCAGTTTGAAATAACGCACGATTACATCATGAACAGACACACCCAGCAATTTGTCCTGAAACCGCTCTTGACCCATTTAAACACACAACCAATGATACCCTGTCGCACGTGCTAAGCGGCATACCTAGCTGATGTTTTGCTTATGTAACAACTAAAAGTATTAAAGTCGAATATAAATGTATGTCAAACCATTCTTATTGGTTTTTCAGCAATTGCTTGGTATCAGTTTTTCGACTCAAGTATTTCTTAGCCGCATTTCGTTGGTTCTGCTCTCAAATGGGCCACAATTTAATGCAGGGCATATTGAAGTCTTAACACCTAGAGAACCTTTTCGTTTTGCTCTGTTTGTTGGTATCTTTTAAGTCTTCTGTCCGCTCTTTATCATTATTCGCTTTTGTTTGTTGTTGCTGTTAGCTGCATTTCGAGCCGCATGAATGAAAACGGGCGGGAAACCTGTTTACGTCATAGCCGGTTTTCTTCTCTTCAGTTTTCTCTTTCTGCTATATCATTCTCCTGCTCACTCTCACTTTCGTTCTGCTGGCCCTGCCGTGATTTTGGCCAAATCGCTTGGCGAATTCTGAAACCTTCATTAGGAGCAACGCCAGATTGTGCGGGATTTAAGTAGCATTCCACTCAGTTTATTTGAAAAAACGTTACGAGGTGACATACATAGTACACATATGTATATGTATGTCTGTGTGTCAGTTCAAGTACTTTTTATAATCGCCACTTGCAACTTGTATAAATTGCGTGACTGTTGATTCTCGAGAACATCGGGCTATACTATGTACATATATAAGACCCGTGTCTGGGCAGCTAGAAATGTGGAATTAGTTGAAGCTTAGAATGGGAACGAGTCTGGCCTAGGCTTAAAAAATAAATAATTACTATTTTTGATTTAGAAAATCAAGTTTTAAATGAGTTGGCACTTGACACACAAATAGACTTTTGATAATAGAGATCATAAACAAATAAGAGTAGTCTTTCGCCTACGTTCAGCCAAGTAAATTTTCACAGGGAAATTTCTTTAAGTTTATGACTGTATCTGGAAAAGACTTTAAAATTGTGCCGGCCCCGGTTTATTTGGGCGCTGCCCCTAATAACTTAAATGTCAGGCT